CATGCATAATTTCAACACTGAAATCTTTAGGGAAACAAAACTGCTTCACAAAATGGAAAATAGGTTGGGTGTAATTTGGTCATTTAAAAAGTTTGGTTCCTTTACAAATGTATTTTTTGACAGAGATATCTAAAAAAAATCCAAGGTGTTTTTTTATTACAATGTTTAAGCACTTATAACACAGGATAATTACAGACTTCCATATTTTTAAGTTATATCTATCCCCAAAAATGAATTACACTAATGACACATGAAGAAAAAACTTAAAATTGACCAGGTGGCCTATCATTATAAGAGCATTTAAAGAGTTAAACAAATGTTTTCATTATTAACCCACTGGCTTAAAAAAGCACATGTCTATCTAATGCTTCAAGATAAAGACAACTAACAATGATTTGAATATTTACAATATAATTTGAAGAGTTTAAATGGTTTTATGAAATGTTCATGTTTTTTTAAGAACATTTTCTAACTTCCTTTACTTGATATCTGTTTATTCAATTTGCTGCATCTGTTTGGTTGTACAACACAAATTGTGTTTTCCTTATGATCATCAAACCATTCCAATACAGTTCTCTATGGAGAATATCTCTATATCATTTTATTTAAAAAAAAAATAGTAGAAAAGTAAGAAGTTTTCCTCAAAAATACTTAAGAGCTGACTCTCAAAAGCAATCAAATGGTGATGATTTATAAAAAATACTCTGGGTAGTGTCCAAATGAATAGGCTTTCCTTAAATAATATAGTAGGTATACAAAAAAATAATACAACATAATGCCATGTTGGCCTCAGGAACATGACTCAGATCCAGCAATTACTTTCTGAAATATCCTTCTCTAAGTATTTCACTAGTGATCTAAATAGAAAAAAAAATCCTTTACTAAGTACACTGTCGTAAGATATCAAAGTTCTACACAGGCCATATAAAAATATTGTACTAATACATTTAGCCAAACATATTCACTTGTACTTGTACATTCATTTTCTATCTCTAAGTTAAAACAGAGAGAAAGAAAAGGGGTTTACCATTAAGTATGTTTGTGTTTTAAGCTTAGATCAGCAAGGCAAAGTTACGTGCCAACAAAGTTTTAGAAGACAAGAATGGCAAAATAGCTCACCATACCGGCAATGTGTAACTGTAGGAAAAAAGGCAAATGTGTTGCTTATTGTAAGAGCAAAGGTTAGCGTGGCAAGGTTACTTTCAAGATTCATAAAAGAGTCCAGTGCTTTTATTATGTCCTTTCAAGATACTTGAAAACAAACAACACACAGTCATTCAACCCCATCACGCAATGTACAACGGAAAAGGCAGAAGTGTAGTACTTCACATTCTAAATGTGCGCACTCAGATAAAAAATATTAATAAGGATTACAGGAGCAAACTAAAAAAAAAAATCAATTTATTTTTATTGTTAGTTAAAAGAAGACTATAGACGAGCAGGATGTCATGTGGCTGAATCTTTCAGTCTAATCATTGGTCTACAAAAAATGTAACATTGACACACTGGTGGGAAATTATCTCGGCCTACTCCAAGGTTATCTGAAAAAACCTTGAATTAAAGTAAACTGTATATTCTATCATTTATTTTGCCCTGAACACATTAGCAAGTCGGTACATTAATTTAAGTATTATTTCAAAACTTAAAAAGAAACAACACAAATGTTCTCTTACATTAATAATAGTGTTATCTGACTTATTTTTGACTTGACTTGTTTTTTTTTTAAAAGCTCCTGGCATAGGCAGAAATGTGATATTTGAATTTGATAACATCCAGCTTTCCGTAAACCAAACAATCCAAATATGAAAACACGTATTTGTTTCACGTGCTTGTCCGTTAGGCTTATCAGGCACGCGCCGCCCGCCGTTTGTTTGACTGTTTTAGAATGTGAACACTGAGTTAAAAACAACATTAGACAACATTTTTGCGGAAATGTCAACCACCAACGTATTCTATTACTACATTATTACTGTTATTAGCAGTATTATAAGATTTGGACATTGTATCCTCTCACAATATGTGAACACTGACGAGTCAGCTGACATGTAGCAGTTTTCTCATTGGTCCCCGCACGATGTCATTCATTTAAAGCACTCTGGGTAAAGGAACAGTCACACCGGCACACGTTCATTTCGTACAAGCATTCAGCGCAACAAAGACATAACCGTGCTATTGTAGCTCGTATATATATATAGAGAGAGTCTAAAATGGTATATCCTTATCAAAGGAAAAATGTGTGCCCAGATAAACACCACATGGTGCTGTTGCCCAATAATTCAAACTTCTCTCTGATGCAGCAGCGTGGATATAATCGGTTAACTATGCGGTAAAAAAAAAAAAAAAGACAGCGTTTAAATCCTCTTAGTTACATTTACATTTTAGATGAAGTGACACAACAATCTTACCTTTGACCTTACTTCGCTGCCAAAATACGATTGCCGGGAGTACCGATTGCATGCGTGAATATATTTAAGAGCAACGGACCGCCCACTCTCCTTGACACTCGTAGATCGTGAGCTGCGTTCAAGTACTTCACGTACATGTAAAAAGTTCACAACATTTCCGAAATAAAAAATTTGTTGTGATCAACAGTGTACCTTTGTCCAAACTGGCTTGAAAATTCCCGAATGACCCATTTAACTGTAGAGTACCTGGATAGTTAATACCTTATAGCTATTAGGGATGAGATTAGGGAAGAGAGAAATGTCCTCTTTTTATCAAGTCAATACATTTTTCATTTCGGGTATTCTTTTTTTTATTTCAAAATGTCTTATTTGTCTTAATGTTCTAATATCCAGCCTGTGGCGGCAGTGGCACCATACCATATCAGATTTTTATACTGGAAAGCTTTTTATTAGCCATTATTTGTAGCGTATGTTAATGCACTGTCCAACCGTTCCAACCTCTATGAAGGCAACACAGCACGCGATTTCCCTCACTCACATACGTTTAATTAAAAAGGCAAATTGAATTAGGCACGAGGTCATAGGAAGATGAATCGTAAGTAAATTAAGCTATCTGGTTGTCAAAATAAACAGAAGTCCTAAATAGAACCATGACCCCGGTCCGTAATGAAAGTACGAGATACCGTAACCTTGGTAATAAGTGACCGTTGTAATGACGATGCATCATCCATTTTATAGCCACCCTACGACAGTACACCGCACAATGCTATGTGCATCTTACCTGTTTCTCTTCTATATCGAAAACACGAATGAATTAATGTTCTCCCCAATATCACCCATCGTATCCTACAGACGAAAAATGAACCGGTCTGTGCAGGTTCCCAGTGGACGTTCGTGTGAGCCCACCTCTGCTTTCACATCTGGTGATTTGTGCCTCACCAAATTTATCCCGACACCACAACATCAGCACACGTAGCAAACCACTGAGACAAGACACAAAAATCTTTGGTTCATGCAAATCTCCAGCCTTATATGAACATGTGATAAAAATAACTTTCATTTTCAGGAACATGTCACAAATGCATTTGATGATAAAGAAACATATTATATGATTTCTACATGAAAGTTAAGAGATAGGGACTGTTTCATCGTAGCTTTATCGACTCACAATAGTTTAAGGTTCAACCAATTTGATTCTCCTTGACATAGTTAGTTATATATATGGATTCACAACTATCTTACTCAAAGGTCGTGTTCGGCTGGGAAATTGTGTTTCGGGGTCTTTGGTGAGCAAGACTGGCGCACCTCAGGGTACTGTGTCCATCACCCATTCTTTTCACACTCTACACTACTGACTTTGCATATTAGTATGCAACATGCCATGTTCAGAAGTGCTATAACTCCGCTATAGTAGAATGTGTAGATGATTTCACCACCAGGGGCAGGGGCAACGGTCTTTACTTTAAAACACCTCAAAGTCCAAAGAGATGATCACTAACTTCGCTTAACTTGATGTGACCAGTGAAATGTACATTTTTTAATCACTCTACTGTGCCAAGTGTCATTTACTTTGGGGTTGTCTGTTTGGGGGTGGGGGCTGTATGACCACAAAGGGACAAAGAACGCCTAAAAAAACTGATTGTTCATGATGGGGAGGAAAGTTGACATGGTGGGGACTGTGTTAGAGAAGAGGATGGGGGCTTCCAATATGGGGCATCATGATAAATGACAAACATCCTCTTTATGTCAGTGACAGCTCTGAGGAGTAAATGTAGCCATTCAAAAAGTTGTTTGTCCCCTCCGCTACTAGTATAATATGTGCATTTTATTCTCTATTGAATTTAATTAATATTACTTGAAACTCTTTTCCATTTCTATTTCATTATCAATTCATGCATGAGTGATAAAGTGTATGTTTGTTACTGGATACCCAAATTCATCCTACAGGGATGAATAAAGTTTTTGTCCACCACACAAAACCAATAGCTCAGAAGTACCTACTCATGTACTTCGCATTTGGTGGGTCTGCCGTTTTCAGTATTGGCACATAATTTGGGCTGGAAACCCAAGTACAATCTGTTCCTTGTCAGAAAGTTATTTAGGTTTTTTTGGGTTGGTTTTAGCATACTACCCAAAGTTATCCAAACCTTTTATAAATCATTTAAGTCTTCTATTGTACAATACACAGTTAAACAATTGATTTAAAACAGAGTAGCGTTTTTTAAGCAAATATATTTTTACTTAAAAAAAAAACAAAAAAACAAACTACAATTGTTGTATATGGGCTGGTTTGACAGCTCTTCGTATTATTCAACCATCATTCCTGCTTATCAAGCAAGTATCGATCAACCTTAATGAGATGCTCAGGAATATTCTTGCATATATTTCTGAAAAAGAGATTCAATCACACTTTCACTTAAGAGCATGCAACAGGCATGCTCTTAAGTGAAAGTGTGAAAGTGTGAGCCTCATCAGAAACACAACAGTCATAGAGAAAGATCATTCATTTCATGTCTTTGCACCATCTCCAGAAATCTTAAACATAACCTTAAGAGTTGGCCTAAAAACAGAAATCAACACAATGAGTTTCTTTTCCACAAAGAAAAGGATGTTATATTCATCACCATTCCTCAACAGATAAAACGCCCCTTGAGGCTGGACTGTCCATATTGAATGCGTGTCCTTCTCAGTTGAGTAGTCTGACGATAGAGTTAATATTTCCACCGCGGAACCCGGGATTTCCCAGGTCTTTTAGGAGGCCGGCTTTGTCTCTGGCAGCGTGGCGAGGAACAGAGAGCTTGAAAGGCAACAGGAAATTGTTGGCTACCCGGAAGCTTTTACCAACTGAGTAGATTTCGTGGATCAGGTCTTCCAAACAGATGATGCCAAGTTTGCCTGAATGACAAGGGGACAGAGGTACACAATCAAGAAAAGAAGACTTGCGACAAAAGCTTTACACTGCTGATGATAATGGTAGATGGTACCGGATTTTTTTTCTTTCTTTACTTATTTTCAACTAACCACAACAAACCTCCTGTTACACTCCAAAACATTTATTTTCTTCTTTTAGTTTATTATTACATCCGTGTCTCTGAGTCTCTGTTATTAATGAATTCAGTGGTGATATATATTTTTTTGTCTTATCTTGATAAACTTTGCTGCTGTAAAGAAATCAGCCAGTCAACAGATTCAAGTTATTCAAATCTTCTACCTACACGTCAAGATTAAATTGCAGTTTTCTTTCAATTATGGTCAGTAAACAGTGAAAGCAGCATACCCATGTGCTCCTCAATAAAGGTGTTGTCTGTGAGAGGAATTCTCTTCTTTCCAATTCTGGTCTGACCTCTCTTCAGGATGAGCTCACGGACAGACTTCAAGTTGGGAAATCTGTTACATCATGAGACGTTTGTTATGTTACAAGCAACAACAAGGATTCTAAGTCACCATCAACGTGCAACCTAAACAGTCAAATCACTTACCCCCAGGCCACATAGGGCTCTACGATTTTCATCATGGCTACGGACGTTTTGTTGATTTTGACAAAGGACCCGCTGAAGATCTTCCTTAACCTCAACATCTGGACCACCTTCATCACTTTAGGACTGACACCTTTAATCCTGACAGAAAAGGCAAAAATATGAATGAAACAAAGCTGCACAGACTTACATTTCTAAGATAATTAGGATTCTGATCTTCCAGATTTTGATAAATCATAATTTTTTAAACATTTCAGCAGGTTACTCTTCACGTATTTTCAGGCATGATTATAGGTAATTTACTCAACAACAGTTTACTAGTTTATATGTAGTATACATTAGGGTTGTCAAAAGTATCGATACTCAAAAAAATATCGATACTAAAATGTTGTAAACGGATACTATGCTCATTTTCAAAAGTATCGATACAACCGCTGCGGCTAATGGCTAATAATAACACGCCAACATTAATCAAGTACATTTCCAACTCCCCCACATCCAAGTCGGCCATTTTTATTAGGTCACCAATAGGAAGATCCCAGGCAAGAAAATCATAATTGCTTCATGGCAATATAGACATTAATTTAAAAATAGTTAAATGAATCTTTCAAAAACATAATTAATCTCCATACATATTATGTTAAAATAGTGTATATTAAATAGGTTTGTACAATAAGTCCAAACAAGTTTAACCAAAAAAATATTTATTTATCACTATTATGAACGCTGGAGGGTTAGGATTAGGGTTATTAATGTGGGCCACCAGTCACGATAACATCAGTAACAGGTCAGTTTGAAATGAAAGACACTATTCAGTTCAATTTTGGGGTCTTTGTTTTTATCCATGTGGTATCGAAAATGCTATCGAGTATTTTCCTGAGTATCGGTATCGCGTTGAAAATGTTAGTATCGAGACAACCCTAGTATACATATAGTAGTTATTTAGGTTTAATTTCAAACTTGACAGCAGTTAATCAGCACTTAAAACTATATACAACCAGCTGATTTTATTTGTCCAAATCTGGCGTTGAAGTGAAAACTGAGAGAATCTTGATTAGATTCGTTAGTCATCTTATAATTTTTGTACCGACATCATTATAAACCAAAGACACTGACAGACGTTAGCACAGATCTCTGCATCAGCCGTTTATTAAGCCAGAAAGTGGAATTTAACACTTTACTCAACTCAGACCAAATTTGTTATGCTTTTTTGCTTGCCATTCACATAATTAATATAGACCCCTTCTTGATTTCCAAAACTGCCACCTGCAACTACACCATACCAATGATCCATTTCCAAATTTGCCCATGGTGATGTTAACAATTATGGCATTGTTCTTGGAAACAAGATTAAACTAGAACAAAGATATTTTTTACAAAGGGTTCAGATTAGCTTTTTTACAAATGTAAACAGCTGTAAAATAATCTTTTCTGTCAAGCTTAAACATTATGTTTAGGGCAGGGGTTGACAATTCAACATTTTCATTCTTTTCCGAATAAAGCCTCAATGTATTTGATACACATTTAATGACAGTTTTTCTGATATGCATTTATTTAATGTTTTTTTCCACAGTGTGTTTTTGCCATGGATATGAGATGTTCTACACACACAAAAAAAAAACTTGACATATCTTACTCTAGGGCCAAAAACAAGCAAAAAATGTTCTGAAATGTTATGAAAAAGGCAAACATTTTGGTCGATGGTCATACAGATGCCTCTGCTTCAAAACGAGATATGACGATCAGTGAGAAGTGATCTATATCTACATTGCTGATACAACTATGAATTGTATGGTTTAGGTCAGGCAATTAAATTACAGCATACTTTGACTCAAAATAGTCAGTGTGTGAACATGATTTTTGCTTACATCTCCTTACTTTGTAAAAATGGAAAAAATCTAGGCCTGCATATGTAGACCCTAACCACCTTCGCTAAAATGTTTGTTGCCAAAAAAGTTGGGATAAAGTCTACAAACTTTGGGGGTTTTCCCATTAACATGTAGTAAGTAGTGTATCTCACAGACATGGCGCACATTTCTGTGTACACACTTTGTGTTAATGCAAGTCAAGGATGTATACATTTTAGACCCGTTTAATATTTCAAGCTCAAAGTGTCCAGCCCTTTTTAACACTAATCTCCTTTCTATCCATAAGACACTTTTGCTGTCATTTCTCTAGAAAACGTTAAATGTGAAAAGTACTCACTCTCTGATGCGAACGGCAAAAGCAAGTCGATTCTTTGCAGGAGGCAGGGGAGCAGGCGGCAAGAGTTGAGCTCTCCGAATGCGGGTCTCATCGCGATGTTTCTTATGGCTGTCTTTCAAGAAATCCTCCAAGCGCTTGAATTTCAAAGGTTTTCCTCTAGAGATCTGTATTAATGCAGAATAGTGGAGAAGTTGCTTCAATGTCCAGCTGCTTCAATTGCATAAAAAAAAAGCAAATCCCTGGAGTCAATGAAAACGTTAAATTTTTTACCTTTCTTTTCTCAAGCAGTGCAAGCTTGGCCTGGGTAGCTTTGATGGCTTGATAAGCTTTCCTCTTTTTCAGGAGATATTCTGGAACTAACTTGATCACCTTTTTCGATCTGGTGACAAGGGAAAGGGCAGACAATAAATTAGCTTTTTTCCAAACCGTTTTACACTGTGAAACAACAGTGTCCACACCAAGTTCATTTAGAAAGGAACCCCTTTAAAGCGTGTTATTCAACATAACCACATGTAGACTCCTTACGACACTATTGTACAACAAAATTCTGAAAAAACAAGACGCTAAAATAATGGAGCGCTGAAGTGCAGTTACTTGACTGCACAAAAAACAATAGCAAACTAAACATCAAAAGGCATATCACATCCACGTTACGTATATCAGACGTTTGAAAGACAAAATGCTGGCTATTTAATTTCCTTCAACGACACATTGGTTCCATGTGAAATTAAGCTAAAAGTTTTCAAAGCTTTTGAACCATCAATCGAAAAAAATACAGGTTCTCAATTAATAAGTAACGTTTGAAAGTCGTATTGGCGTAGCAAGTTAAAAAAACTATGTGCAGAATAGTGTTAGATGGACTTGGATATGCTAAAAACATAAACATACTCAGCTTCAGCCATGATGAAGAAATAACCGTAACAGGAAATGACGTCACAGAATTACGGCAGGATATCCGTTTCTTTATGTATGTGCCCCGTCATCTTCTTCTTTGTCCTGTCATCTTGGTTGCTTTGTAGCGTAATACTGACACCAACTGGTATGGAGTGTGTGTGCGTGTGTATTTATATATACAGTATATATATATATATATATGTATATGGTGCCCTCGACAATTATTGGCATCCCTGTTTAAGATGTGGTTGAGGACTTCTAAAAATGCCCCCTTTTTTTAAACAACATAGAACCCAAATGCAAAAAAGAGAAAAAACCCAATTACTTTAGTGGTAAAAATAAAATCACACATTCAGAAAAAACAAAAAAAACATTTAATCATGTGTCCCACAATTATTGGCACCCCTAACAATTTCACTGAAGAATTTATCTAGGAACTTTTAATGAGTAATTCATGACTTCCTTTTTTCCCTGTTATATAAATATGCTTTACCCATTTGTCAACATGGCAAACACAAGAGAACACACTATTCAAGTAAAGCAGATTTGTGTAGACCATCATAAGTCAGGCAATGGCTACAAGAAAATAGCCACTCGCCTTAACTTGCCTGTATCTACAGTCAGAAGAATCATTTGGAAGTTTAAAACAACTGGAACAGTGACAAACAAGGCTGAAAGAGGTCCCAGGTTTATCTTGCCACAGTGCACAGTGAGGAGGATGGTAAGAGAAGTAAAAACAAGTCCTAAGCTCACTGTCACAGAACTGAATCAAAGAGTGGAATCTTGGGGTCTCAAAGTCTCCAAAACAACCATCAGATGCTCTCTACATGCCAACGAGCTGTTTGGGAAGAATGCAAGGAAAAAGCCTTTTCTCACTAATGTTCACAAACGTAAACGTCTGGGACTGCAACTGGGATCATGTGCTTTTGTCAGATGAGACTAAGATTGAGTTTTTTGGCAAAAAAGACTTGGGTCTGGTGTAAAACAAAAAATGAGTATGCCGAAAAGAACCTGAAAATAGGGCAAAATCTTGTTGAAATTCCACTACAAACTGTATTCTAATTTAGTAAAATAACTGTATTTTTGAGAAAGTAATTTTCGTTTTTTTTTATTTATTTTTTTTACAGTATTTATTGTCGCCCCGGCTGCCGGAAAATTACTGTTTTTTAAGTTTTTTTTAAAATTTTTTTTACACTTTATGAAATTAGATCATAAGCTTGTATTTCTCTGATCAGAATTTACACCCCTTTTCCAGTGACTACCTGTAACAAAAAAATGTGAGAAAGTGGTCACGGGAAGCCCAAGAAGCCCTAGCATGTGAAAGACTATATAAGCTTCTTTGTTGACAACACCAGGGATTTTCAGGGATGTGGAAGATCACAGGCTTCAAAAGCAAAGGGAGAATAATTTAGATGGAAGTCTGGGCAGAGTTAATGAGCAGAAAACATTCTTTAACATATTCATTTCAGAAAAAAGCTCACCAGCCTCCCCTCCTGTCCACAGCCAAACGGACAACCGACACTCCTTTGACCAATAGCTTTCCTGTCACACCTAAGATGTTTTATCCTCTCCCTCAGTTATGGAATTTTCTGCTTCCACTATGTGTCTTCAACCCATTCAGGAGATACTGCTGCTCCGTTTGCCTCCCTTCCCACCTTTCTGTTTCTAGAAATCAGGTGAGGAGGCAGCTGGAGAGCCGGAACAAGGCTGCAGGTCCAGATGGTGTCAGCCCTCGAAGCTCTGTGAGATCCTGCATCACCTCTTCAACCTAGCCTTGACCCAAGGGGAAGGTTCAACTGCTGTGGAAGACATCCTGTCTGGTTCCGGTACCGAGGAAAACTCACCCATCGGTCATTAATGACCATAGACATGTTGCCCTTACATCCAACATCATGAAGGTCTTAGAGAGACTCCTGTTGGCCCACCTGTGTAAGCAAACCAGCACATATCAGGACTTCTACAGTTGGCTTATTGCCGTGGAGTTGGAGTTGAACACGTCGTATACCTTCTTCAGCAAACGTTTGTTTGTCATCTAGACAAAGCAGGCAGCACTGTGAGGATCATGTACTTTGATTTCTCCATTGCATTTAATAACAATTCTGTCTGATCTGCTTTGAAAAAGTGGAGGCGTCAACAATTTCCTGGATCTATGACTATTTGAAAACAGACAACAGTGTGAAACTGAAGGACTGGGTTTAACCCGGTAGTTAACAGCACAGGAGCACCACAGTGGACTGTACTCTCATCACTCCATAATCCCGCTGGACAGTCCAGACCTCCAGCACAAGCCGAACTCCTTTCATCTAGAGAAATACTCAGATGAGTCTGCTTGAGCGCTTTCTGGTATGGTGTTAAAACAATTGTTTCACCTCCAATTTGAACAAAACCAAGGAAATGTTCTTAGATTTCACAAGAAAAAGAGTTCAGTCAAAATGTATTAAACTGTAATTGAATTCAGTCAGAGGCTTCTCAAGATTAGTTGTAAATAAGATCGCTACAGAAGATATTTCCTGCCCACTGCCATCACAATCTATAACAACTCCTTAATTAGATTATTTTCACCAACATTCTATTTCCCTTTGGGATAAATCATTTTTTTAAATGTTATTGAATTATCTACAGTACTCAAAAAATAAAGGGTCAGACCTTTGTGGAATCAATGTCACCAGTTAGGTAGTAACACTTATGAATCATTTCACCTGCTGCTGTGCAAATGGAACACACAACAGGTGGAAATGATAGGCAAGTAATAAGACAGCCCCTTTAAAAGAGTGATTTTGCCAGTGGTGACCACAGATCATTTCTCTGTTCTTGTCCTTTCTGGTTAGTGATCTAGTCAGTGCTTTCACGCAAAGAGGCATCATGAGGCATTTTTACGGCCCACTGAAGTTGCTTAAGCAGTGCAGCTAATCCAATATTGAACATCAATGCAAGCACTGGCAAGAAGATTTAGTGTGTCTCTCAGCCCAGTGTCCAGATCATGGAATAGGGGCCACGAGATAGGCCAGTATACCAGGAGACATGGATGGGATCGTAGGAAAGCTACAACCCAGCACCTCATCCTTTCTGCAAGGAAGAACAGGAGGTCCACTGCCAGGGCCCTACAATATTATATCAAGCAGACCATTAATGTGCATGTTTCTACTCTAACCGTCAGAAATAGTATCCATTAAGGTAGAATGAGGTCCAACGTCCATATATAGGGCCTGTGCATTCACTGTGCAGGATGATTGTCATCTGCTAGGGAACACCATAAATTGGCACATCCCCCACTGATGCCCTGTGCCTTCCATAGAGCACATGTGACAGATGTGACAGAGTCTGGAGACACCATGTGTCATGTAGGTGGGTTCTGAAGGGAGGACTCAGGTGCGGAGATGAGGGAAACAAGGTTTATTGTAACAAAATGGTGGAAGTCCAGACAAAGTACAAAGCAAAGCTGTGGAAAACTGTGATCAAAGTATCAAAGCAAAGCAAACAAGACGGTGGCAAAGTAACAAAATAAAGATTGACAAAACAGTGGCAAAACTGTGACTATGACTGTGGCAGAACTATGACAAAAACAAACCTGGCGTGGGGGTGACGAAGGACGAAACAAGACGGACGAAACGGACAAGAACGCACTCGCACAAGACAAGGGGAAACGAGGACTATTTAAACACATGAGGGAGGGGAACCCCAGGTGTACACAATAGGTAATCAAGACAAGACGAGACACCAGACGTGACACCATGGAAAATGTCATGCTGCCTCCAACATCCTCCAACATGACCAGTTTGGTGGTAGGTCAGCCATGTTGTCGGGAGGCATTTCTTTAGATGGCCACACAGCCTTCCACGTGCTAGCCAGAGGTGTCTTGACTGCCGTGGGTACCTGGATGAAAGGTTTATAAGACTAAATTGAATAAAACACATGTTTGGGATACTGAAGCATTAATCTTTTATATTACAGAATCCATCTATCCATTTTCTGTACCGCTTATTCCCAATGGTCTTGCGGGGGTACTAGAGTCTATCCCCAGTATACAATGGGCGAGAGGCAGGGTACACCCTGGATGGTTATAACAGCATCTCTCATGTAAAATGCAATATTTGTTGGGGCCACTGGGTGGCCCGCTTTAACTTTGAGTGCCTCCTACCTTTCTCCTCCCCAGGGTGCGTTCGGGCAGAGTGAACCTCCAGCAGTTACCAATTGCTGCAATCAGGAGGCAGTTTTTAGAGGAACGTTTTCCCTGAGGCTGACGCCAGTTGCTTGATTACCATGCAGTTGAAAACTTACCAGTTATCTCCACAGCTCAATGGAATATCCTTTGTCCAAGAAAGAAAACTAAACCTTTTGTCTTCCTTCAATCCTCAGCGTTTCCTCTAAGTCCTTCTTGCAGTTTCTGGATTCCTCCCTGCCTGTCCATCGTCCATCACCTTCTGGATCAGGATCTATGTTCGTCCTGTCGCTTGCTCCCTCCGTTCTCGCACCTCCCTGCCGGTCACCTCTCTATCAGAATGAAAATAAAA